AACCTTAACTGATGTATTCCTTTAGTCGTAAATAAGTCTTCTACTATAAAATTGTGATGACACTAATCCTGTTTTATTGAATTTATCTCCAATAAGTCAGAACGCTCCGTTTTAACATCGAATATTAAATTATAGTAGCATATCGTCCATTAAAACAGTCCATTTAAATAGTCATCAACACCGTATTCTGATTCCAGGTAAGATCAGATATTTTCAATATGCAGTATGCGACTTTTAAAGCGTGTTCTGCATTGTTAATTAAATCCCATTTTATGAAACGAGTTCAATTTTAAGAAATAGTTCGTGATCCAGAGTAGGATGCGTTAGTGTTGAAACGTAGACGGTTAAAGTTAAAATTGAATACTGTCGAATCCGTAAAGTAGTTTTACTAAACAATAGCCGTTCCATTTACAGTCAACTAGCTGCTGTCCGCGACTACCTCTGCGTAGAATAGGCTGAAGGCGTAACATTCAGACAGAAAGAGGGATATACATAAAATATGTATATAAATTATACCCTATGTCTTATTGGGATGTATAAACTATATTATAATAAAGTTTCATTAAAATCCATTATATATAAGTATTTGCGTCAAAGAGTAACAAACATCCATCCATACAAACTTTCGCGTTTATAATATTAGTAAGGATGGAAATTTCAACGAGTTTTAACGCGTTCATACTCCCGTACAACATAGACGGCCTACGGGTTTAAAGCGCAAATTGCTAGCAGTATCAGCGCCACTTAGCGTTAACGGGGAAGGCGCAAAATCATATGCATCGCGGAGGATGATTGCGACGGAATTATCATACTCGACGCTTCCCCGAATGTTTATTTTTTCCTCGGTTAGCGAAATTACTTTAATTGTAGACTGCGCACCGACGCAGCGGTCTCGGTACCACGTGCGCTATTCTACAGACTCCGTTTCTGGGTGTGTCGTGATTGTATCACTCGTGTGTTTTCGACAAAATTTCTGCGTCAACGCACAATCGGTCAAGGCGAGTGAGAAGCCGGCAGTGAGAACGCTCGCCAACTGAACCTCGTATTGATCGTGTAAGATAAGTAAAGGTATCACGGTAAACAATGAAACTTATTGAAATACGTTCGGATTGTTAATTCTTTATACTCGCGCAATCGGAAGAAACTGAAGTAATTTGAAAGGCTTACCGTAAGATACTACACATCACTAGAGCAGCCATTATTAATCGCATACTATTATAATACTAACTATATGCAGACTATTTTTTTTTTATAGAATACTTTTTATGTTATCAGTGATATCAGTTTGCAGATTTTTAAGCAATTTTGACGCAGGCGTCTGGGCAAAGCGCTTCGCTAAAGCGCATCTCACTAGAGGCAAGGTTCTCTGCTAGATTTTGCAGCAAGATTACAGACATGCTGTGGCGCTAGATTTCGTAATAGGTTTTTTTCGCTTTTCTAGTTTAAAGATCACTGTGTACTATGCCAGCTTTGCGATTGGTGCTCATTCGAATCCAGTATTGTTACTGGATCGGCATTGGTAGATTTGAATCTATCGTGGAATACATGCCATATCAGTCAATCGCGTCACACACTCATCAGAATCTTTGCTATATTTCAGTAATGCTGTCGCGCTAGATTTCCTGATGAGGTTTTTTAACGTTCAGTATTTTTTTTTTCATAATGATTTTTAACACAGTGAAAAAAATTTTTCGTAAAAATTTTCGTTTAAAGTGCGAGTTTCGTAGCAGTCAAACAACGCGGTAGCACATGTTCTATCAGTAACTCTGGCACGCTTCCGAGCAACGCAGTCCGTCAGTTCATTCCGAAATTCCAATCCTCATTGACCACACAGGTTCAAGTTGAGTTAACGGTTATATTTATCGCGGCTTTTTTATATAAGCACCCGATGTTATAGCATTCATGGTCACAAGGTGGACGAAGATGATGACGTGACGCGATGTCACTCTTAAGACTACCAAGAGCTCGAATATTGTAGTTGACGCAGCAAATGCTAACAAAGATAAAATCCGTTTGTTCTTTTTTTAAAGTGAGTTTCAAACTCAAGACCTGACTAAGCCAAGTGTTGGTTGCCTAAAGATATACGCTTAAAACTAGAAATGTCAAGTTTTTTTGCGGTAATGTTTCTACTTCACAGCACAATCTCTGAACTGATTTCAATAATATGGAAGGTGGATAAATCAAAATCCGTATTAACTAATAATATAGGAATATTAACGATTATCTATCACAAAATATCATTAAAGCGGAACCGCGTGCAAAAGCTAGTTCCGTAGTATTACAGCTAGTACTCAATTGAGTCAAACTCAATATTCTAGTAATGAATGGTAGTACTGATACTATTGTATTTCATATTATAGAAATACCAAATAGTTTGCAACCCATGGCGGTAAATTTTTATATATAAGTCTCTGCCAAGTTCTGTTCAAGTCTCTGGCACGAAATGAATAGCCTGCTGAACACTAAACTTTGAAATGCGTACATCTAAGCACCCGAGCCAAATAGTCTACATAACTGCTCCATTGCTCTCCCCCATTAAACTTCAGGCGATAGCATTAAAATACTTTAAATCTCAATTATATAGGCACGCAAAAAGAGGTTGCATCGCTGTGCGATGAACGATAGCTCTCCTACGCGGAATCCGGCGTCGGTTTTTATCCACGGCTAATGACGGCAAAAAGCCGAAGCAGCAACCTCTGAGACCCGGGACAAGAAGCGCTGCAGGAGCCTACGGATGCTGCCCACGTCTGCACAACGGCATCCAATCGCTAATAACTCCGTCACGCCACCAATCAATCAGCGAACGGCATTATCATAATGCAGACATAAACAATCCAGCGGCCGCAGCGCAGCCCGCCGCTCATTGTGCGCGGCGATTCCGATCGCATGGAATCGCCGAGTGGCGGAGGGAATTCCAGCGGAGATCCGCTGTTAGCGCTTTTTTCTGCGCATCGAGCGGTCGCTGTCCGATCGCTTATTGGTGAAAAACCTCGTCCGTTGTTTATACTCCGCTGCGACGTGGAAATTAGCCACAAAGTCGCGCGAGAAATATTGATGGCGCTATTATGGAGAATTTATTGACACCTACTTCCTGCAGCTAGCGAAGGCAGCTAATGACGGAGATAATACAAAACAATGGGGGACCAACTGCTGTTTTTATTGCTTTTTATATATAAGTGATATAAGTAATTGTATACTGTGTTGTAGAAGCGTTTCGGAAACTCCAATAATAAAAGGACAAGCGTCCAAGTAAAGAAAACTTATCTCATTATTACTTAAATACTCGTTGCGGAGGGAGAACTAACCCTCGATCTGCGATACTGATCTTTACTGAAGCCGACTACGCCGATGGATTTATCGAATCCAAAAACTTAAGTTGCATCAATACTAGAAAAGAAGAATCGGTAGATTTCCAAAATCAAAAATCCATTCATGCTAGATGTGATGTTTGCGAGTAACTGGTTGTGGCTAACACTGGCAGTGCGTAATTCAAAAGTCATTTTCATGAGCTGGTGAATCATCCGAGTCGTTTGGCGGCGGAGTAATGTCCCGCAAAGTCAAAGGCCCATTGTGAAATTATTCAAATTATTCAGAGCCATCAACGTGCTATGAACATTAGACAAGCGGATTGACGCTCAAATCGAGACTGCGAACACATGAGCTACCGCAGTAAATCCGCGCCATTGAAACGACCATCAACGAGGGAAATTAGTGGCCAGCGTACGACGATCCCGATGCCGTATGGCTTTCAGGGAAATTTGCAAGCGGACGCAGAACACTCTAGAGAGCTCGCAGGTCTCGCGCGATTGGCCAGCGCATCGCGGCAGGGTCAAATGCAGAGGATTATTCAAGGAACGTCACAATATTTTAAACGAAAGCATTAAGAACCGACCCGGCGCTGATAATGTGGGTGTCGGCTTTAACAGATGGCTTAACGAATGTGCAAAAGTAAGCTATTCGTGTTCTCGATTTTAAACGTTTGCCCGTCATCCGGAGCGGGTTGCCCAGCGATTTATTGACTTGGCGAGTAAACTCGGATTCCGTACAGAGTGGTTCTTTAACACTATCTTCGACTGTGTAATCATTACTAACAGTATTGTCAATTTTGTTAACCCTAACAAATAACAAATAAACAATTATATATCTTTGTGGTATTGTTAATAACCTTCATAGAAACGTTATAATCGCGGATTATAACTTAATGCAATAAAATCTAGACAAAACCCAGATAAGAATATCAAAATGTAAGTATTGACTCTTGAAAAAATCTTTTTATTTTGAGCATGTTTTGGTGAAAATTGCCATCCTAATATAGAAATACTCTATTTATATTATCTATCCACAGTTCAGACGTCTAATTCGCTTATTGATACCTGTACGGAAAACAGCTGAAAAGGCACATCAAGAAACAAACATGACACAACAACAAGTTAAAATTAAATGTTAGTGAAGAAGCATTAAAATGGAACGGACAAACTCTCCACTTACCTTGGCTGTCTTCTTTCTTCTCTCTTCTTCATTCACTTCCGATAATGATTGGCCAATCTTAATAATAAATAAATAAATCTAATAGACGCCAAATAAGAGCCGTGTCGCATTCCTCGATGCATTGCGTATCTTTTGTTTTATTTTTACTATTGTAATATTGCAATCTCGCATATTAAAGAAGAGAGATTAAATTCATATTAGAGAAAAAATTAAACACGAGGATCACGATAAAGCTTTTGGCGCAACCGCATTTTTAAGACTATTACGCGACCGCTTCGAGATGTTAGCGGAAACTATAAAAGGCCGCCATCTAGATTCGGTCGGTTAACCAAGCACTGTCGGACACATCGGAATATAGATAGCCATTTCGGTGGAATCGTATCCGATGAGACAATGGGAACCGGTGGGGAATATGATTCTGTGGGTCCTGGTTGGCGGCGGCCGAATTTGAAATACGCCAAATTACCGCCGGATGCGGACGCGCGACTTTAGGCCTTTAAGCCGCGCGACGTATGCCGGTGGCAAAGAGTAGCATTCCAAAATGGGGCCCCACGGCCGCCGCCCCTATTACATTCGAACGAAACCTGGAGCGAAGCCCAAGCTCAGAAGGCAACCAAAGAGAACAGTTAGTTGGTAAAGTTAAACATGTGAATCATCAAGGTGTGGATTGGGCTTCGAACCTAGGTAGTGGACATACGGAACCACGTTCCGCACAAGTGTCCGACAGTGGCGGGGAGGGGTGGAGGCTCTTAACCTAGTGACAATGCAAAACCTGATCAAATTTTTCAACGTTTTATTTTTTATAATTTTTTTAATGTCTCCTCCCATTTCGTCTACGACATTGTACAAACATTTAATATAAATTATTTCGAAACGATAAAATAAGTCATTATTAAAAATAGTGTACGATTAAATCTTTTTCATCAAAAAAAAAATATTTAAATAGACAAAAAAAAAACTTGTACAACATTGCATCTAGTATTAAAATTACACTCGCTTAATTCGTTATTGTATTGTACATATTTACAAGAAATGTATGTTACAGTAACAATGTTTTAGCGTCTTCAGGTATTGTATCTATCACATTATCTCAACGAGTGACTTTTGGGGTACAAAACTCAACAAGAGTTCCCGCAACCGAACGACCTTCGAACTCGATTCGATAGGTCGCCGTGCAAATTGCTACATTTCACAACCGCATCAAGTCTCCGAAGATGTTGTCACAACACTGCGTTTGTACGTCAACCATCAGAGTTTACATCAAAATTGTTTCAAAAATAATCGGGCATTGCCGACGCAATATAATTATGTATGCTAAATATGAATTTCGATGTAAAAGTCGATTTCACTAGTCCGGACACGTGGACCGTAATTAATAGAATGAATAGAAGAACTCTCGATACAACTACAACAATGAATGAACGCCAATATGACCACGGAATCGAAATTAAAGGAATTAAATACTATGACATAATAACAATTACATATACCGCGACAAGCCCGACAATCGGGCTGCGATAAAAGTGCAGCAAATATCCCATTTAATGAACACTATAAATTCGAAGTGCGCCTACGTATCGACGGCAGTGCGGCGCGGTAATGGGCTGCGCCGGGCCGTGCACGGGGCGGCTTTTAAACGAGAATTGAATTATTGCACGTCGCGCATTTATCAGCGGCCCGTGAATAATCGCCCGGAGAAGCAACGGTCGCCCCCCGAAGGACTCAATTTCGCGTTCAAAAGCGCGCTCCGTCCGCAATTTCGGTTGCATTCGCACCCCGAGATCGATGGAGTTGGCGCGATAGCGGCGTTTAAGGGCGACGAAAGATTTTGGCGCTGATGATTAATTTGCTCCAATTGTAACAAGCATTTGTAAAGAGATCGCTCGAGGGGCGGACGTTATATTGAAGGCGTTTTGGGAATAGTCCACGCGCGATACCGATCGGCGAAGACACGGAACCAGTTGTTTTATTTCAAAAATGTCTTCTTTTCGTGGATTCAAGTCGTGTAGTTCGATACGGTGCACAAACGTTCAGTGTCTTCGCCGACTTCTTTTAAATACAATAATAAACAATTATTGTTTATACTTTTATCATTCCGTAGCTTGAAGTGTTAAAAACGTGGGAATAACTTCCGGTCGCTCATGCGTGCCGATCTAAGCAATTTAAATAAGCTACATATTACTTAAGTACAATAAAAATTCATTTGGGGAATAGACGACAATTTCACAAAAGGTTTCAATTTCTCTCATTTAGATACAATGTCAAATAATACTGGACTTAGAAATCGGTTATAATCGCCGAAAATAGTTGCGGGGTTCCTTAAGTACTATTAACAACAACTCCCGTTAGATAGCGAACAACTAAGGCACTCGAAGTCTCGCCATTACCGTCGCATTATATGTTAGGATACATCGTTTATTACTTATTATCTAATATATTAATTTATTATTATGTTTCAACATGAACTTCGCAAGCTCCAACTGTACTAGCATTTTGCAGGTGAACTACATTGACACACGTATTTTATGCTGGTAGAGTTGGATAGTTTCTCCATCGGCAACTCATTAAGCGATATATAAAGTAGAGAAAATAAATTATTACCCTTCAATAGAAGTGGAACGTTTAGCACCAATAGTTTTTCCAGAATTAAACGCTTAACAAGTGCCCGATGGACAAAGTAATAAAGACAAAACAATATTCAAGACGCACAACATGCCTTAAGACTAATATACACTCGTTACGTTGGATGGATCACAAACACTGTTATACGAACACTAAAGCACAAACTGGGAATGTTACGTTACAATACAGGTATCAATATATCCGAGACTGTGTCCCGAATGGAATTATCAGATCTATAAAACTGGATATAGTACTAGTAAAAAATATATTAAGATTTACGCTTAAATATAAACCTGAGAACAATTTAAATGTATAAAGAGATCACCTAATAGAATGAAATGATTACAATACTGCAGCACCACCAGAACGGCTAGCACCAATTGTAAACGTGGACGGTGATGAAATGGAAGCGGGGATATTGTAGCGGGGGGCAGGAGGTACTGTGTGAGAAGGACCTAAAATCTAATCTGCTGCATTCGAATATCAAACACGTAACTAATAACTATACGGACGATGGCACTTGATTAATGGCCTGAGAATTAATCGAGTAAAATGCATTAGAGTAAATCCTTACGGTTAATGTAATAACGCGAAATTATAAACAAAAATTTACATAGCGAACGCAAAGTATTTTACTATGCTAAGCCTCGCGTCTCGTTCGATTTGGTAAGTCGAGTCACGTTCGAGCGATGTTTGTTTGTTTGCCTGCTATCCAGGTCTGTTGGCTACTTGTGCATTGTTTGCTACTCTTCCACGACAACTATTTATGATAGTTTTATGATAATGACTTATAGACATGTTCCTGTACATTCATGAGGTTTGAGTTAGGTCAAGATAAGTCATTCCGAAAACTGAAATGCGAGCGGCATGAGATATTCTATTGTGGTTGCATCATAGGCCGCGCGTAATGAGACTAGATTACTAAACACCACGCACAGTTCATATCAAATATTTCAAAAGAAAGTAAGGTGTATCACCGTTGTCGAAAAACATGCGCCCGATAAGGAAACAATAAAACAACAAAAGGGACTTTCGAAAATTAAGTCATAATTTAAACAGGATGGTCATTTCGAAATGTGTGGCGATGTGGTCGCAAATGCGTTTTACAGCGCGCGCCACCTACGTGTTGATGTCATTCGCGGAGACACAGTTAGGAATTATTCGAAGAGTAAAAATCCACGAGAGAGTGCTTGAATAAAAGATGAGGTCGTAAAATGTGCGAAATGCGAACCGATCCGCTCAGTTTCAGGAGAACAACGAATAGACGAGCTCAATATTAATGAACATAAATATGCATGTAGTCTTCGGATCGGTTTCATCGTTGCTAATAACCGTTCCTGCTCGGCCGCTGATGAAATATTGTTATTATTGAAGATTCGAAAGGCTCTTAAGGCGATATCGGGCGTTATCGCGGCGAAGACCACCGGATCGCGATTTTTAAAGTTGGACGCGTGGGCGGCGCCCGCGACGCCATAGGCGGACGGAAGTGAGAGCGCCGGGTCGTTATTTTGCATCCTCGTCTAACGCGCACCGGAATGCGTAAGCGCGAGCAGAACGACGGCCGCAATCGACAATGTCACAGATCACAAAACACGATACAAACATTGCCAAGGCTCTTTAGTTTATGACCACTTTCGATTCCGAGCGTGACGCAAGCGCAGATTGGAATTCTGAAGCAACACGCTACACATGCACCCGCCATTGAGAGGTTTCGTCGTTACGCGATGCATGATTCTGTCGCACGAGTTACGACATTCGAAACACGTCCCGCCAAACGGCTGCCGAAGAAATTTGCTTTAAACCCGACGTTTACGTTGTCGATAGGATCTCGTTTACCGTCATTAACGAGGCAACGATTTACATTCGGCGAATATTAAATAAGTGCGCAATCGGCAGCGCCGCAATCGCTTTTAAATTGCACGCCTTTAACATAAGCAAGGAAACAAGATAATTTAATTCATTGTCCGCGTGCAAAATGTAAGCATGGAACGTGACTTATGCCGAACGACGTGTCATATTTGGATGTTTCTTCTAATCATCGCTTGCAAAGAACCGTTACTACACTATGTTAAAATATGGCAAGCAAGCAAGCGTTGCACGAGATGTTAAGTGCACACCGCCGCCTATTAGCATCTACAACACAAGAGTTGCAGATGCATTGCCAACCTTAAAAAAATTAGGCCCTTGTAACGATAAACACAAGACGAAAAGCGATATCATAATACGCCCACTTCACGCCGGTCTTCTGTGACGCTGTAGTATTGCTTATTATACTTTAATTAATAGACTTTAACAAGACCGAAAATCTTACTGGATTCTTGTTTAAACTCTTAGAAATATCTGTGGTTCTTAAACGGTTCTTAGCAAAATATCTATTAGAAAAATGTTCAAGATTATCGCAGCAATTTCTAAAGCAATAAAAGAGCACAATAGCGGTAACCTTTGACGTTGTCTCCAACACTCATTCCAGTATTCTATTGAATCGGAAAAGCTTCGCTCGGAGGCGAGACATCGAGTAGAGAAGGTACGAATTCACGGCTACAATAACAAACACGACGGGCAAAAATGCAGCTATAAAATTGGCCTATGACCGCACCTTTTGTCGTACACACGGAGTCTAGCGGCGCCTGGTGAGATCGTGCCGCAGCTAAATTAAACTCACCGAGCCCACAAGAATACTATTACCTACTAGCAAATGATTGAACAGAAATTTATGACTCGACAGCTTCGTGTTAGAATCAAAATTAAAGTGATTATTCCTCTAATAGTATGTTAACCGACTTTGTTCAAGCGTTAGGGATTTTGATGATTTTCTCCTATACAACAGCAAATTTTTTGTTGATAGATCAATACAAAAAATGGAACATTCCTAATAACCGATTTGGTATATCTATTATCCACCGACTAGACAGTGACATGTCTCGAGCACAAGTTGCAAGCGAGGTACTCGACATTACGCAGATGCATTACGCTCAATACCAATTCGCCGCACGTATCGGTACAAGTCCGCATTGGGTATGATAATACCGGAATATCTACACTAACAATGGAACTGAGAATGAATTCTGTAGTACGAGTTACACGAATAAACGAGGAGCATGTGTATGAGAAAGTTATTTATGCAGTAACCACGTAATTTATATATAATGCCACGTTTTCCAAAGAAATTAGATCGGTGAAACGTGAAATAACTATCTCTGTTTAGCCTATAACAGTTTAATTACAATAAATAGTTATATTCCGTTAAATTTTCACGATCTTCAACTACTGTAAATCGATTAGTCAAAACTTAGCTGCTTAATACCCCTTTCCATCTCGAAAATTTCACAGTAATCTCTAATCACACGAGTATTTAAGATCACAGTGATCGCGTTTAATCCAATATTTTAAATATTAACTGTCGACAACACTAGAACACGAAAAGCGGCCAGTTATCAATTAATTAAAGAAATAAACGTGGCCATCGTTCGTTCATTCAAAAAATCCTATGTAGTTCAAATTCAAATTAAGAACGCGGCGGCCTTAATTAAAAATAAACCCAATTCCGTAACAAACCGCTGTTAAATATAACGTCGACCGGGTTCATGCATAAATCATACAAGCACCGCGGAAGGAGCCGCACGCGCTCGATATCAATGTAACGAATAACGACTGATGTTCGCTGCTTCCACTAAACAATAAGGGTCATTTTCGCTTACACATTTTTACCGTAGCGGATTGATCAATTGTTACACGGTAAATATTCCTATCACTGATTGCGATCCCAGTTCGGACATTTGCATTATTAAAATTGAATTATTAGGTTTAGTTTTACTAGATACAGTAACTACTGTTCACTATTATATCATTACCATCATCAGCATACCCGACATGTACTTTTACAACCTCAAAGCTATGATACCATTGAGCCGAAACTTTTCTGAATATCGATACGTTATTGCAAACCGAATTATTGTTTTCTTTCGCTTAAAAGCCCATCTAAATCGCCTTTCGAAATCGCTCCACGCCGCAAGGTCCTGGCCGAGCTCAGAAGGACGTCGCCCACGCAGCCCAGTCGATATCGGCCGATTATATCACCGTTTATGTAGGTGGCCATATAAGGTCAATTGTTCAAAACACAAACGCCCGCCTCGCTAATCTATAACCCACTTTGACAAGTATCAAACGCCTGTTAAATGTATTGAGGGGCTAGAAAATAGTCGCTATAAAACTTTTGAACTTAAAGTCTCAAACCAGAGTGAAGAAAGAAACGCTTTCTCCTTGTTTATGAATTGTAATTACATCATGTACTTGAGACGATATTTTAACAACTCGACACTGAAAACATTTCCATAAACATCGGCGATAGCACTGAGGCTGGTGAAAAATATTTTCCCATTTCTGTTCTCATTAGAAAAACTAGATAAATATTCCGGTCCAGCATATCGCATTAAGAAGCGGATGTCGTTAAAACTAAACGAGCAAAAGCGCGCTAGGATCAAACCACTTCGCCGAAACCGGCCAGCGTCTCGGGCCGAAAGTGTCGCCGAACAAAGCCGCGCCGTGCGCGGATTCAATGCTGCGTGGTCCAAACAAGCGGCTTCGGACTTTTCCCACGTAGCAGCGACGGCGCCGATTCGTGGCACGTACCGCGGATTAGCATTTGAAAGCTCATTGTTTGCGTTGCTTAGCCGAGCGATCCGAGCGCTCAATGGATGAAAAAACGCTATGACGGATCGCGGGGGCCGAAAGATGCGTCCAGAGAGCTGAATAGGCGAGGAACTAGCGGGCACGCGCGCGGAATTCATTAGCCGGGCGCGCTTTGAAAAGCCTCGGGAGGGACTCTTGGCGCCGCCAAGGTCCCCGATGGATTCTCACGCCTTCGCGGTTGTACAGTTAGCCGTGCGAGCCTGTATCATCATTGCGTTTTAACGGCACACCACTGACATCGGAATGTATTAATTGGAGTTGCTTTAGATGGCGTCTTGGCTAAAAAAGTGTTGACGTCATTGGACTGTAAACGATTTTATAGGGTGGAGAAAATAAAGCGTTTGTGGTCGCCGATGCGAACGATAATGCACCGATTCGTAGCCGGATAGGATTAAACGGGCCAGGGGCCAGCTGTTCCCACGTAGCTGTCACCGCGTAGACCCAGTGCCGGCTATCGGGCCATCTACGCCGCGGTGGACAATCCGCCTAACAAAGCCTCGGCGGCTTGTGGCCGAACGTTTCCCACGCGCTAACGGTCCGCCGCGTCCGGGCTGCACCGGCGGCATTCCCGCGCGGACGACGTCCAATCCCGGCCCATTTCGATTCTCAGGCGAAGTCGCTTGCCAGACCGGAGATGGAACAGAAACAACGGAGCAGGCTCGCGTCGGGCAGCCTCGTCATGCGGCCAAAACGGCCGAGATGCCGATACAAAAGACTCACCGATAACTTGTATACTCAACCAATGACAGGGGAAAACATTTGTTTGCGTTTGTGAACGTTATGTTTTTTTTTTAACTGACCATCAAGGCGATGAAAAGGAGCTCGAGTCGCATGCGTCCGAGAAAAGAACTCATCGCCATTGTCTCTTTCTGTTTCGAAATTTACAAACGATTAGAGGCGGAACGAGTTGCAAGTAATTGACGCGTCGAGTTTCTTCTGACATTGATGTTTGTTGCAAGCGCGAAAAAAACCGCATCAGAGTATTTACGGGCGGGTGCAACCTAATGGAATAATAATGAAGACATTTGCGAGTAAACAATACGATTACATTATCCGGTTAATGGACAAATTGCATCGGTTATTAATTATGAAGAGTAGCTTGGCAAAAACGTCAATATACGCGTTATAGAATTCAAGACGCTCCTGTTCTATTCCTGTAAACGGGATATTACCGAGGTCTCACCGAGGACTTGGCTTCAAATATTTCGTCTATATATACTGAATGATAGTCAGTTAGCGTAGAGCCCACGTGCGGGCACAAACTGCGTCGTTACGCGCAGTCATTGCACATTAGCGGCGGATTGGGTCTTTGATTAGATGCTGTAACACAATACGCGAGCGGGGCCGGGCGGCGGTGACGCGGCGCACGGTTTACGCTATTCCCGGCGGGCCTAATTTTAACCATCTGCGTCTCCCGGTCCAGTTTTAGGAAGTGGGCCGGGCCGAGGCGATTAAGAGATGCGCTCGCCGCAGTGGGGAACGAGCGAACGGTTCGTCTCAATCCCCGAGGAGTTTTAGATACGATGCCGACCTCCTCACTCGCTGGACTGAAGGCAAACACGCGAACATTTCACGCCGGTCTTCAGCGAGAAGTAGGCACAAGTCTGATCGAGGCATCCCATCGGACTTGGCCAGAAGCACCTGCGAGCTACACCGCCGCGGGACAGTAGCTTACGGCAGCACAGAGCGACGGGCGGGCTCAATTAACCGGAGTAATGATACCGCAGCGGCGATCAGTCAGCCGCTGAGTGCAATTACGCGACGCTCTTAATTGGAGGCCCCGGATTGAAACGGACGGCGGGTGACGTAATGGGAAATATGAGCGCCCTTCCAATTATCGGGACGACACCAGCGACGGCTACGAGACGTCGCGGCCCGGGCTAAATCTATAATGGATGAGGCGAGTCCAGCGATGGCGCAGCAAACGAGATCGCATGGGCAAGCGCGCATACATAACAAAGCAGGCCGGGTTGTAACCGGGAGGCCGGTTATTAATTTAGTGGGATATGTTCGAGGATTAAACCCAAACCCGGAGGCAGTCTCCTGCTAGATCAACTTTCAGAGGATCGGAATTCGATAATTGTCAAACTTTGCGATGGCGACGGATGCACCACTTCACAGTGACTCTTTGTTATCGTTCGATTTCTAACAAGAAAAGTTATATCAGCTGACCTTATATTTTAATTAATCTGGAAGTATCTGAAGATTGTTCCGGGATCGGGGGAGAGGGGGGGGGGGGGGGCGTTAATCACATGCGAATGCGCGGATGCCCGGTGCGTACAAAGAAAGGTCCAATCATTAGAATCACTGTTAGAGAGATGTGTTAGAGAGAGCGGAATCGCGTTAGGCGCTAGATAATGTTGTTGGGATTCCGGATTAGCTGGCATCCGCTGCTAGGATCTTTATCTCGTATTACGAAACACTACGGCCGGCTCTCGATTTACTTGCCTCGAGTTTTTTCTTGTTACTTTCGTTTGTAGTTATACTACGCAACGCATTCGTAAATTTATATTACTGAACTATTGAATTTGTATTAAACTACTACTAAGTACGGCTGTTAATCTTAGTAATATATATATTTTTAGAAGCAATTACCTGATGTTATTTTTCAAGAGATGAAATACATGCTAGTAACGAGTACTATCCTCTTTCACTGTGTACAGTTTATTTTATTATTTTTTTTAAGTTTTGAAAACAAGAACGCAAGTTCTTGTATTATATACGATGTATATATTTTCACGTACATTTACGTGAAAATATAAGTATACATCGTTTTAGAATTTACACCGATCGAAAAGTTTGTCGTACAGCAGTCATAAATGTGAGACTGATTTCTGAAATTAGAAATCCGAGAAATGGATTACATTGGAATTTGAACACATGACTTTATATTGCATGACGAATACTCTGACCGCGAGATTACGGTTGTACTCATCAACATTGTTACCGTCACTCGGCTATTTTGAACTACCGGGGCGGCATAACCGCCGAGAACAGTGCTAAGCGGAGCGACGCGTCGAATAATCTTGACATGTCGCCCGAACACACATAATAGCGTACAGCGGCCGTTGATCACCGCGCCAATTTGTTAGCGTAAACAATAAGGGCACGTAACGAGGCGCGCACATGCCGAATATCTCAAGCCGCCGACGTCCCATCGGCGGGGTTAACGAGAAACGGACCATTGTGTGCGGCCGAACGGTCAGAGCTCTCTGGATTTATTCATTCGGGGGGTTATAGAGGGCTCCTTCTGTCGAACGAACGCAAATCGTATGGTCCCCAGGCTGAATTACGCAACGGTGACGTGATAGCGCCCCTTTGTTGGATTTTGGGCGACAATAACTGATCGTGGTCTTCCGTGGACCACTGGCCAGAGTGTTTATTGCGGAAGAATGCAACTGACTTCAAAGAGGGAAAATGTTTTATGAACTTTTCCTCATTAATTATAAAAAGTTGCGCGGAGAAGATAAACAAACTAGGTCACGCTGTGGTGGTGATGAGTGATTAATTTGCCGTGATATAATGTTGTTGAACACTTTATTATAGTCATAATGGCTGTGGTTTCAAAATAAGAGTAGTTTTATATTTGACATCCCAAATAAGTAAAAATTATCTCTAGTTCCAAATACTAGTTATGTCTTATGCACAGTGGTAAATAAGTCACTACTTACTTAACCACTTGTGATCCTGAATACAAAGTAAAGTAACGTCCTATATATCATATATCCCACGGCTGGGTAAAGGTTTCTGTGTACAAAAGGTATTTTACAGCAAATTCCGCCACGCGACCCCACTTCGACATAATGTATATTTTGTTTATTATTATTATTATTAACTCTTGAAAATATTTCAAGTGCATTTTAGTCTCTTTTAAACGGTCGTAGAACTGCGGGTGTTTCTGTTGTTCCTACAAACATACTTATAGTTAGGTTATATATTGGAGGTTATATAATGTTTTGATGAAACCGCTTTACCGCACGGTGATCGCCGTTCTGGATTAGCTCGCCTTATGGGTTTCGTAAGCTTGGACTATCGCGTGCCGATCCGCGGAGATCCCGGCCGATACCCCGGCGCCATTGCCCAAGCGGTGGCGTGAATGGGGCCATGAATGAGGATCTCACTAAATTGGAACCGTACTCGAAGTGACTGAGAGCAAACCGATCTCGCTTCTACACGCTATGCAATAAAGAAGCAATTCCCGTCCGCTCGTGGCTCAGAGTCCGATGGATCTCTTCGACATGGTTTTCCCGCGCGGGTGGCCGATCGGCGCGTTAATTACAGGGTATTACAGGCGAAGCTGGCAAACATCGAGCGACGGCGTTCGGAAGGCGCGCTTAATTCCGCGAGCACATCCGAGCATCTCGCATCGTCGGCCGAAAGACGCGCGTATGAACGGCGCTCACTGATTAGTCCACAACAGGATGAAGAAAACAACAACTGCGCTCATCAAGCGGCACCGAACCGAGAGCCACACGCGACGACGGCACGCCTAGCCTTAGTCAAATTAGCCTTATTGTCGGATAACGCGCGGGGCGCAGCGACACCGGTCGGCTTACACGCGGACAATTAGCTAAGCCGCACAATGCGATGACTCAGCCGAGATTGGGCGCCGAGCGCTCATCAAAACAATGGTGATAAGTTAATAAAGGGAGGCGGCTAACGTGCGATTACGGAGCGAGGCGTCGCCTAGGCGCGCGCCTCGCTCCGAATACCTTATCGAGCTATGAGTCAGCTCCGATAGAGCATAGGGAATCAGGGGAGATTTGCACACAGGTGACACCGAAACCAAATTGCAGGGACTGTTAATAAATGTATCGCGCCATTGTAGATGCAGACGGGCATAACACGGAACCAAGCAATTAGACCGCGCGTTTTGAACGGACAATTATTGGTGTTGAAACTGTAAAGATCGACGTCCCGTGTTACTTTAGATAATGGCGTAACTCGCATTGATATCGGAACGCACCGTGCGCCTGAAAATAGACGTGGCGGAATCCGTAAACGGAAAAGCTCCGGACTAACGCGCAGACGGAACAATTTCGCGACGTTACGAAACTGCCGGCGGCCGGGAGGGAACCAATCGGAGCGGGGTCACCGACCGGGTTCCGCGCACACGCCGCCGAACCGCGCATCTGCATCCCGAAAATACGTTACGTCACCGCTTGCTATGAATTCCGCGTGTCGCGATCGTGTCATTTGAACACGCGGCGACAGGTGAAACCGATTCCCTGGGAAAAGGTGAAAACGCAACTCGGCCGAGGGAGAAACTCGCGCCGGTATGCCACGCGACCGGCCGCTATAAAAATATAAACAGATCCGCGTGCGAGGGAGACGTAAGCGGGGAGGGGGACAGCCGTATCATCGTGGAAAATCGACGCTTCGTCCAAACGGTGCTGATTGCGACGACACTAGTTATCATCAGGAGGGATGTTAGATGAGCATTAGTTCGTAATAAAAACACGGATAGCGTAGTGCGTCCACTTTTTACGGCTACGTAAAACCTAGTAGTGAAATGAAACCTGTTCCTACCAAATAACATGAATAATCTAAAAGCGTATGTCGAGTTCAAAGTAAAAATGTGACATTGCGATGAGATAAAGAATCTTTTGCTGAATCGGTACGTTTACCATATAATGGGTATGGATCTGCAGTCTTCAATAAAAAAGCGACGCTTGTAATCGATTTCGACACAAGAAAACCGCGAGCCGTGTCGGGAGTCGGGGGCGAGGGCAGTGGGCGCTCGATGGGTTCGAAATTAAAACGATATGCAAATCGATTGCGGGGGACTAATCGATGCGCGCCTGATGCGGAGGCACCCACGGTTCGCTACTGGGCGCACGGCGATGGATAAATGCGTGATCAGATGTACCAATCCGATAGTTTTCAAAAGCTCTTTATATAAAAAATACACGAGTAGGCGCATCAATAAATCCAACGCTGAGAAGTTGCTGGTGGGATTTCTGACCAGACGGACTAAAAAAATAGAGTATAAAACATTCACTCTAGGTCAAATCACCCCACTCGTGTTGTGAAGTGAGTGCGCCAATAAGATTCATATGAATTTCACATATTAAAAATGCTATTGGGAGAGATATCAAAAACCTCTTGGAGATCTGGTGGAAGCTGTACGCGATGGATGGGACTGAGAATGAGACTGAATGGTTAATACCATGGGGACAAGTCGATCTTTCCATCAAAAGGCGCCTTTTAAAAACTGCGTGGCCAAATAAGGGCAGCATTAAAGCGCACATGTTCACACCTATCAAATATACACGAGCGGCCATTAAATAATACATGCGCTAATTGAAGGGGACATACTCGTTCAGAGCATGGTTAGACGCGTATGTCATATTGATGAATTCGAGGAGAGAGCATAAACAAGCCATTTATAGAATAAAATGGCGCACAACATATCAATTTTCATAAAACAGGTTTTTTTGCAAGTAATTCTAAAGTACAAACAACACGCCTAAGGGAAATAGAAGGTCATGATCGAACCCTGAGTAACCTTAGAATTTAAATGAAACTCACCCAATCTCAACTATCTCACACTATTGTCATTGTAAGTATTTATACAATTGTGAATGGTGAACACGATAACTCATTTTCTCTTGAACCAGTGACAGTTTCGTGTGATCGCTTAGAATTTGTCACGAGGCGTCCGAAAGCGGTCAACTGAACCTCTCAATAATCCGGCTAATGTCGAAGCAGCCCAAGATTCGTCGGCGTCTGCGTTGGCGCCTGTGGCTAATTGGACCCTCTCTAGTTTGGAACACCTGCCACTATGTGAGCGAGTTTTTCTCTCGTTGCATTATTAAAGGCGCAAAGACCGGGCGCGCGGCGCGGCTTTCAGTTTTTACTTTTTGCAAACTTTGAAATAACTTATTCCCATTGATTCCGTCCAATCACTCCGTCGATTTAATTGAGTCGTCAACGTTGTAAAAATTCCGAGAAGTTTTCATATTATAATGAATACAGTCTAGATATATATTGAAAAATATCTCTCTTCGAAAAAATAAACAAATTTTACCTAAATCTTCAAACGCTGCCTTTCACAGAACGTTCCTTGTTGAAATAAACCTTTGATTAAGGAGTGTCGCCGAACCCGCGTTGTTTTATAAGGTCATATTGTGTTTTTATATGAGTATTTGGCATCCGCCGCCTATAGATATGCAACACCCGTACGGTTTCAAACGCGTTGGCGAACCTCACTCAACAGACTAAACGCAGATCTATAACTCTTCCACTTAACGCCAATCTTCTTTGTGGTCGTGGTCCTTCCTCGGACGGACCTGCCCATCTAACAGCGAATACTACACTCTGCTATTCTTCGTGCAACGGGTGCAAACGGAAAAAACGATAGAAATCCTCGAATTTGCATCACCGGGGATAGGGATTAAAACAATTTCGTCGAAGAGTCCGGTAGCAATGGTTGATTATGAATGGTCGATTCATCCGCGGTAATGAATCAACTAACCGCTCCCACTTCCGACGGCGTCACTAATACCTGCAACCGGTTTCGGGCGATTATCGAAGCAATTTAAATATCGTTACGCAACTTCGGAGCGATCCTCATTGGTAACGACGTCTCAAATCTATCAAATGGTACTGTACACAAACACGTCCTGTAATCTTGGTTAAACTGATTACACATTGTTATGTAGAATGAGTATAACCAAGCATATAAGACACTGTAGTGTCTAATATGCTATGTCTTTCATTGAGCCTAATAGATTAACAAAAAGGCGTGTAGTATTGTTGAAAGCATTCTGTTTTCGGGAGCAATATCATTTGGGTTTTTAGGTTCAACGCGCACTACACTTTTGGGTTTACGAGGTAGGACCAAAACTGAAATGGCACGGACCGCACTTTACTTACATCTAACAGGGTACACAAAAAATATGTAACTTTGATGATCATCTATCAGATACTATTTTAAAAATCTAAGACAGTTTTGATGTGTACAATTTAACATTCGAAGTCATTGCATTTTAAAATCGCAACCTAATCAACGCAGCAACCACAAAACCACATCACATGAACGTCAATCAAACATTTTTTTTTTTATTCTCTATAACCAACAGTTCGCCCGCGTGTAGCCTGAATATTTTGGCCACTCGTTGTACCCAACTCAAACGCTCAAAAAACAAACAAAGACATAAATTAAGAGATTACACGCTATCCGCGAGCTATTTACAAATATAGTTAACGAAATACTCCATTGCCAGCATCCATTTATGTATGTCGCTTTATTTATTACTCTCTCTATATCTCAATTTACAAGTCTACGTCGAACGTGACTGTTTGGACTGATCCGAACGGATCCTCTACTGCGATGGGACGGTCGCTAACTACCGCTGCGGGTGGTGCGACATGTGGGGGTGAGATAGATGCGGGTGGGAGTAGGGCTGCCCCAAGGAGCCGAGCGGCAGCGGCGACGGGCAGGGCGGGTGCTGGTGGTACTGCTGCAGCGGCGAGGGCGCGAGGCCGGGGTGGTGCTCGATGGGGTACTGCGAGCCGTACGCCAGTTGCCTCACCTTCATGTCCTCGTCCACCACGTTGTATGTGAGCTCGGTCTCCTCGAAGCCGGTGGCCGCCATCCGCTGCTCGCTGGTGGTCGGCGGGTCCGGGGAGTTCAGGCAGGTCTGGATCAACCGCTTGCCCGAATCGGAAGTGATCATGGGTTGTAGTTTGCGAGTGGCGAAGGTGTACACGTGGCCGGTCTCCGACGCGACCAGTAGCATCACCTGTGTGCCGGTTAGTGTGGACAGTTCGTACGCCTGGAAAGAGAGACCTGCGATTAGAATAGACATCCAATTTTTTTTTATATGTAATAAGATGGCACCTAATAACCGCTGCCAAAACGCAGAAGCATAACACTTCCACTTCATACCGATCCTCTGTGAGGTCATGGTAAATCCCCGGACGGACCTGTCCATTCTTGCAACATCGAACTGTTGCCTGGCCCTATCACAGTAGCCTTTAAGGCCTTTCCCTAACACATAAACCGCGGTAACATTCGAATGTTTCTACGTTACAGCAAAGAGAAAAGTTAGTAACATCGCATAAAAGTGTGTCGTGATTCCTAACCTGGAATAAACCTACACCTAATAAACCTACAGTTCACAAGATAAGCGGGTAAGAAATTTAAAATGACATCACGATACATGATAATGGCATTTGGCATAAGTCCATCCATTGTAGCCTTTAGCTTAATGTGCAGGCAATGAAGATGAAATTAAAGATATAAATGTGAATTTAGTAACAAGGACTGTGAAGGAAAGGCGGATAATAAGTATAATCTCTTGACCGTCTTAAGGTAATTTAAAAATCACCTACAAAATTTCTACGCATTTGACAGTCAGACAAAAAGACAACAAAAAATTGGGTCAAAGTCAGAAAACGTGATACAATGATTGGGTAATATTCATGACCTGAAGTGGCTAACATCACACTTAAACTTACACAAACTTTATTTCAGATTTCAAAGCTGGAGGAGGCATTTTTTTACTTGTTTATAAAAACACTTAAAGGTATCCATTACTTTTCCAAGAGAAGAGAATTATATATAAGCAAAGCCTCGCTGATCCCCGACGTTAAAAATAAATCATAAGTCATAAACATAAGTTGCAAGTTTTTGCTGGCGGCAGGTCAGATGCTCAAAAGTGAACTGGTTTAAGTTCATAATTAGCATATAGCTCAGACCAGTCTACATTTAGTGTGACACATCGCTTTTTTTTTTCTTCATAGCGCGATCGCGATTTCGCGATCTAATCTTAATTTCCGTTTAATGTGGCCATTTAATAAATCGCCAAGAGAACGCTATAAATACGTACAAACATTTCTTAGTTTGAGTCGACCGATTTCGAATAACTAAATAAAAACGAGTTCTCGCGTCATCTCGCTCTAACAGGACGGAAAGAATTGGGTGATACTCATCTATTAAGTTCCAAAGGGCGGTCAGGTTGCGGCTAATCCTGTTGCTGTTCAGGTTAGGGACGACTGTGAGACTTGCAAGCATGAGAAACCGAAGAACGCATCGATATTTTTCATCAATTGCAGTTAGAACCTGTGTAGAATCACGTGTCACCGACCATGGTGGCCCATTTTCTGAACAAACAGGCCATTTTAAACGGGAGTGTCAAACGAACGCGAAGCAGGAAACGGGAGTTTCGGGTCGAAAAGCGCCCCTGTGACCTTTCACCTCTCCCACGCCCCTAAGCAAACCGATTCTTTGGGAGCGATATCACTCTCACGGCTATACGGCGTGTGTGCCCCGGGAATTATCACACCCACAAGCGCCACCTACACAATCCGAACCAATTTTCGTGGACGTGCGACACGAACGAAACTCGACTTTATCACCGACGAAATAGAGGCCTACCCATCCACGAATCGATCGGTGGACAGTTGACACGGGCAATTGACAAATTTGCGGTGGCCCTCTGGCTGTTTGACGCACAAATTAATGCTAAGCGGATTGTAAACCTTAGCTCGATGGCAATAGTGGTACGTGAATAGGTGTGAAAGGCTTTTTTCGGCGCTACGAAGGCGGCGTTACGTGTTAGTGGTACGAATTTGCCTTGTTACGTAACAAAAGCTTGTTCGGAGTACATTTCGCCCGGCTGTACGCTTACGCGTTCCGGTTAGGGCGAAATGTGAATCTTTCAATTCGGATTATCTGCTCAAATATATTAAGAAATCAAATCAAATGCTTTTTTCTTGTTCGTTAAGGTTATATAAGTTGTTAAGATTGAGATTGATTAACTTTATTCACAACATACACGATGGAATGTTTCTAAAAGTATTTACATAATACTAGTTTTGCCTAATAATGAAGTTCCTGTTAACAATGGTACAGAGTAAGCATTACTAATTTAAGTGAAAATAAGAAGAACATCGCTCGGAAGCAATTTCCCTTCTTCTAAATTTTTCAAAATTAAACCAAATAGATTTACATGTTAAGATGATATTCAGATGATACTAATTTTGGCTAAAATTAAGATCTTGTAAACAATGGTAAATGTTAAGTAAACAATACTCATTTAAGTGACAATAAGAAGAACAGTGTTTTAAGTAATTCCCCTAAGTTTAAATTTTGCAAAATTATTAATTTCTTGTAGTGATCAAATAGATTTTCACGCCAAAGTTTCTGTAACAATGTACTACTTTTTTCCGTAGTTTAAGTATTTACCGTATGTACCATAATCTGAGTGTATTTAAATATAGTTTAATTATGTAGGCCATATTTATTTGATGTTTAATTGTACTTGCTGAGCTTATCTTTAAGTAATTGTTACACTTACACATTTAACCTATTGTTTCATTTTTACTGGACATAGTGTAAACAATTGTTGATTCATGTTGATGGGCCTTTTAGAACTGTGGTAGGGCCACGCAATGGTTTTCACTGTTGCACGAATGGGCAGGTCCGTCCGGGTAAGTACCACGACCTCGCAGAAGACCGGCGTAAAGTAGAAGTGTTACACTTCTGTGTTTCGTCTGGTGAGTGAGGTAGCCGGGGCCCACTTTATTTAAAGGTGGCAACGCTTCTGCAACCTTACGGGTGTTACAAATGTCCATGAGACAATCTTTGAGAAAATGACTTATCTATCATCAGAAACGTCTTGATACTAGAAAGTGATAACAAAAATAATTATTTCCTAACTCTTGTGTTCATTCATTCCAATCCGTTCATTCTTTAAAGTCATCGAAGCAGAAATGAAGCTTGGTGACTTGTCGCCCTAATTTTTTTCTTAGAAAGAGAATTCGAAATGTTTTTACAAAATTTACTAGACTAAGGATGAGCACTTATCATTTACATGTCTATGTCCACATGCGTTACTCTTAGACAGGTTCTAGTAGCTCGTGGAGACTTAGCTTTACCACTAGCTACCTACACGTTAAGGTTTATTATAATCTACGATGAGAGAAACGACAATAATCAAAAGTCAAGATTACCCAAAATTCTACCACCTGTTCAAAAATTTCTACCTGTCATATCAATGTATGTCGCTCATTTCTTTACAATAAATGATGCAATAAAATGGCAACATCCAGGCGACAGTCATTTACACACGTCCGAGCACTCGATGTATTGTGCAACATAATAATAGGGTTTTCCAATTAAAGTTGTCTTGGTTCTCATTCAATTGTATTCGCTCAATTGATTAGTGGGCTCATGAAATATGGCGGCATTTCGCTCGCGACGGACCCACCTAGGTCATTTCGCCGATCAATGTGATGATTGATGAGGGGCCCTAATTAGCAGGAGAGAACATTCTCGAGCGCATCGGGGTCACACGAAAACACTCTTTATTTATAATGTAAACAGGTTTGCGGTGGGACAATTAACTTGGGCGCGGTGCCGAATTTATCATTACAGATGCACCTTTAATGAGCCGCGATCTTAATATGATTGACGACTCCTTCGTAGAATTCTCCAAGCCAACGATCACATTACACATACCATACAGATATCGTATAATCATTCTGCTATAGCAGTATTTTGCGCAAAGGTACCGCTGAATATTCTTTAGACTGTGGCTTCAGATAACATCTTCAGAAATCATCGCGTATTAAGTCATTAACGGCAGCCGTAACGGTCCAATTAATAACGTAGTTAAAGGTCATTAAGATGATCGGCGTCATGTGACGCTGAAAAGGAATTCCCAACCGAGTCCAACGTCACTATAATTCGTTTTCGTAGAGCCGATGAGCCGTCAGTTACGCCGTTCCGCTTTTGAGGCGGAGAAATTTTCATCAAATTGAGAAGACCGAAGAATGTGTTAATTTGTGGCGAGTGCAGTTCCGTACCCTTATACAAGACGTTCAAGCTTTATACCGTGTAAGTCGGAGAGGCTCAAATTTGATTATCATCTTTATACTCGGATATTATATTACATTCACGTTAATGTTTACTTGTTTATTTCATTTGGGCAGCTTTATGAAGTTTAACTGGCCATTCATTTTTAGGTAGATTTTACGTACAACTGTAATAATAGATGTATAGTTACTTCCAAATAATCTATTCCATCTATAGCAATAATAAATTAGATGTCTTCCTGTGACATGTAAATATTGTATAAGCCTGTAAATGAAAGTTATTTCTGCATTTTACATCACCCACTAATTAGCTTTTAACTAGAGTTAAGTCTTTATTCATTATTTTTATTAGCCATGATTAATTACGTAACTCAAATTTAGAGTTTCGTTTGAAAGATATCAACCATATTAGCAAATGCGACTGATCAACCACTGGATTTCCCTGTTCAGCTAGAATTCAGCAATATTTGTGACGTGTAGGAATTTTACTGTAGCAGAGACACGCTTCTGCTTATGAAGATGACTCCGCGGCGCAATTGTCAAGATATTGGCTTCGGCGTCGGAGGTCGTGGGTTCGATTCCCACACAGGACAACTATTTGTGGGACCCACATATACTTGTTTCGCATCTGGGAAAATTTATGTTTGCAAAAAGTCCTTAGAACACAGGATAATGTTATCGAAAAAGACGTCACTATCCTACGAGGAACACGGTCGCATGTTTTGACAAATTTTTAGGCTGGCAACGCCCCCTCCTTATTCCTCTGAAGTCACCCATTCCCATGGGCGGAATTTGACGGTCTGCTTGTTTAACACCGTCTCTTAACTGAAGAAACGAAGATTTGATAAAGGAGCAGACCGCAACTTAACTAGGGAGTCATATGCCTATCAGCCCTCACAGGGCAATTAGTTGCCAGCATAAGTTACATGCCAACTTTCGGTCGAAATATTATCAA